CTTTTCTAAGATTTTACACTAAAAAATAGGTAAAAGTGTGTGACTTGTACTGTTATGGCAATGGGTCAATATCGGTATCGGTCAATACAGTATCTGTATCGGACAATTCTCAAAGTTGTAATATCGGTATCGTATCGGAAGTGAAAAAGTGGTATCGGGACATACCTAAAAATTATTTAACACAGTGGTTTCCTTGTTTCTTCTACATAACTTAAAAATATTTGACCAAAGGAAAACCAGAGCAGGACTAGAGAGAGCTGAATATGATTTTGATTTTTATTTCTGTGACTTTACGACCCACAGGAGACACAACATTAACAGCATCATTTCATCCCTCAGCTTTAGCAGCTCCTTTAATTCCACAGCTGACGCTGCTGAAAATGACAGATTTTCTTTTCTGGATCTCTGAAAGTAGGACTTCAGTCTCTGAGCTCATAAAGTTCTTCTTTTTTACTTTGCAATGTCATTTATGAATGGACACTTCCTGTAACAGGAACATATAGCCTTATATGGTGTTTTTGGGGTAGTAGTTCTGCTAATGTCCTCTCCTCGAGCACCTGAATAAGAACAAGTGGCATTCATCAGTTTATGCAGCTCATTTACACACTTTTCCTGAAGATAGCAGTTTCTTGAATCTGACGTACCATATTCGAACAAAACCTTTGTTCGAACAAAAGTAAGAGAAATTTAGGATAAAAAAGTTATTGAATGAGGCCCATTCGTCCTAAATTAAACTGTGAGCCATCTACAACAGGTATTAGTAATTTATGGTTTTACCACCAAACCTCACTTCTCTCTGATCAAAGTATTCTTTCTAATGTTATCCCACATGATGGCAGCATTGTGACCTGAGCTCAGTGTTGCTTGTAGTGGGCTGACCTTTGAACTTTGACCTGTGTGAGGCCAAGCTCTGAAATGATGTGGAGAAGAAAAGGAACAGAAGACAAGTGATGTTAAAATGAACATTTATAATGACTCTTTGTTGCCGTCGCAAAAATAATCTTTAAAAAACAATTCAAATATTAACACAGAAATGCTGACTTCACTGGTAGTCCACGAGTCATAGAACACAACTCACTGAATTTTTTTTTACAAACACAGTACTACAGTTACATTAAATAGTCATTATCGATAAAATCTATTCATGAATAATGTTTAAATAAACAGATAAAAACAATGACAGTTAAAATCYTCTCATTCCCTCTTCAGAGTATCAACATTAGAAAATCTGCTTCAGAGAAAACAGACTGGCAGCAGAACAACAGAATGGGACAGGAGCTGAGACGCTGCACAGACAGGCTGATGGGTTTCAGTGAGGGGGGGCTGACAGTTCTGACGGCTCGCTGCCTTTTGGCTCAGTGTGAAATTATTTGGCACTCTTGTTGACAAATATTTGCCATGAAAAGCTTTCTCACTTCTTCTAGAATGGCACAAGTAGTTTTTATTTTCCCTATTTAAACATGTTTGACGTTCAAAGACAGGTAAATGCTCTCTAAGAAAGCCCTTTTAGGTAGTTTACACTGTGGACTTTCACAGGTTCTYGTCACTTGTGACAACAGAAAGACAGAAGCATTTTCATCACCATCATCAGCCCAATCCACTAAACATCACTTTGTTTTTGGATTTGATCGTAGCTGTCAGTCTGTTTCTGTCCTTTGAATGGAATGAACGRAGCTTCAACAATGGAAAACCTAAAAGAACATGAAAAAATCTGCAAGGTGCAGCTTTCATCAGGATGAGCACAAAACAACAGAACAGTCCTGCAGAGTTCAACAGTTAAATCTCCAACACAGACATGAGTTCTTGGCAATGAAGAAGTTCATGGGAGGTTCTGAGGATCAAAGACAGAAATGACCTCGTACTTTCACCTTTAAAGGGTGGACGTGTGATGCAACATGTCGGCTGAGATTCACACTCAGGTAGAATAGGTTTAAGGAGATGAGTGAGCAGCCGGAGAAGGTTTAGAACCTTAAAACCAGTCCCACACTTCACATGATGAGCTGTGTGGGGTCTGGCACCCAGAAAACATTTAACAGAACTTTTTATTGATCCTGCACTTTGTTTGGTGTTCAGATGTGAAGCAGTAAGAAAACAAAACAATGAAACAGAACCCTGAACCCTAACCCTACACCTCCTACAGTCCTGATCCCCAATCCTAACCCCTTCAGTCCTGAATCCTAAACCTACACCACCTTCAGTCCTGAACCCTAATCCTAAACCTCCTTCAGTCCTAAATCCCTCACCCTACACCGTCTTCAGTCCCAAACCCTTCACCTCCTACAGTCCTGAACCCTTAACCCTACACCTCCTTCAGTCCTGAAACATTAACCCTACATCTCTTTTAGTCCTAAACCCTAACCCTACACTCCCTTCAGTCCTGAAACATTAACCCTACATCTCTTTCAGTCCTAAACCCTAACCCTACACTCCCTTCAGTCCCGAACTCTAACCCTATACAGTACCTCCTAGTCCCTAATCCTTCACCCTACATCACCTTTAGTCCTAAATGCTTAACCCTACACTTCCTACAGTCCTGAACCCTTAACCCTACACTGCCTTCAGTCCTGTACCCTAACCATACACCTCCTACAGTCCTGAACACTTAACCCTTCACCATACAACTCCTACAGTCCTGAACCCTACACCGTTTTCAGTCCTCAACCCTTCACCCTACACCAAACCCTTCAGTCCTTCTCCCTATACCACCTTCAGTCCTAAACTGTTCACCCTAAACTGCTTTTAGTCTTAAACGCTTCACCTCCTTCAGTCCTAAACCATTCAACCTACATTGTCTCCAATCCTAAACCATTCAACCTACGCCACTTTCAGTCCTAAACCCTTAACCCTTCACTGTCTTCAGCCCGAAACCCTGCACTGCCTTAGGTCCAAACCCTTCACCCTACACCTCCTTCAGTCCTAAACCCTTAACCCTTCACTGCCTTCAGTCCTAAACCCTTCAATCTACACTGCCTTTAGTTCTAAATCATTCACTCTACACCGCCTTCAGTCCTCAATCCTTCTTTCTGCATGGCCTACTGCACCAGTCAGGTGGAAAAACAAGAAGCTGTTTATAATTCACACAGGAGTAGAGATCGATCCAAAGGATCTCTACATCCTTCCAGCTGTGATTCTCAAACTGACCTGGTCCATTATAGGGGTTGGCGAAGCCATTTTTTAAATTTTATTTTTGCATCTCAACATTGTGAGCAGAAATATTGTATTTTGTAGCACCTGTGTGCATGCTAGGCAGTTGAGAGAAAGAATTCAGAGCTACGCTTCAGCCAGATGAAGAGTGTTCTCTCTTTACTGCAGTACAACTGTCTGTCTCCTTTCTTTCTTTTGTTTCTTGGTCATAGTTACTGCACACACTCAGGTTTTGTGGCAATAATGAACTTTGTTGAGTTTTTGTGCACAGATTAAACTTTAATTGCTACGTTCTGTAAGAGAGATCGCACATCAGAAGCTGATGGAGCAAAGATCACTTCTTTATTTGTTCAGTTGTTCTTTATTTGGGAAAAATCCTCCAAAAAGCTTTGAAGAGATAAAATGCCACAAACTAAGTCACATTTTCACACAGTAACTAAGAGCAATAAAAAATGTGAAAACTATTTATTTCCCCCCGATTATAATTACCTTTCAGTTAATCTTTGTTTTGTTGTGTTAAGGGGGTGTCTGTCTAAAGAGGGGAGAGGCTCAGAAAGTTTGAGAAACACCACCTTACAGAAAGAAAACAGCTGTTGTTTCTGTTTTATCCCTGACTCCAGGCTTTTCCATCTATAGCTTTGAAACAGGACAGAAATCAAACATCAAAGCAAAAAAAGGAAAATAAAATGAAGAAAACAATGAACCAAAAGAAATGATGTGTGGGAAGCCTACACGCTTTCCTTCTCAGCTTCGTTTCACACCCAGAACGAGCCACCAATCATTAAAGTGCATTTATGCAACACCAAACAAACAAGAAAATGTTGACAGCAAATCGGAAGTTGTGTCGACGTGTCTGAATCATGACCGCGGCCGTGTGAGGCCTACCTGACTGGAGCTGAAGGATTGTATTCACACACATATTAACTTTACACAGAACTGATATTCCTGCCCTGAATTACAGTAAAGAGAAAGAAACATTCCACACAACTTAAAGAAGAGGAAATGAATACATTCATAGATTAGATCTGCCACATAAAACTCCAGAAACATTCGAAGAAAACTGGTACAACAGAGAAATGTGCTATCCTGAAAACACAAGCCAATGCACTGAGGAACATTTTCACGTTTGTTTGTTTGTTTGTTTGTTTCACATTTTAAACCTCATTGGATCTAAAATACTGAAAATATTTGACTACGGTGAGAAAAGAACTTGACTGAAGGGAAACTTGATCTCAGGTGTGTGTCTAAGTGCGTGTTTGTGTGTGTGTTTTAGGGGGGGCCAACATGACGATGAGCTCCCTCCAACTCCCAACATAAAGAACGTTTTAAACATGAGGTGAAACAACTGAAGAGCTTTACACTTGACTTGCATGCAGTGTTATGTTTTTGAATGTTGCGACACAAGCCGCAGATTTTTATCACTTTTTTTTCCTCCATAATTTTACTTTGATACCATGCAATAAGAAGACGTGCAAAAAGATAACATCTAACTTCACAAACACATTTTGGATTGTTAATGGCTATGTTATGGATGCTGCTAACATGTCCATGCTGGCCTATAGAGACATTTGGGAGAAAACAGCAGTACTGAAGCCACAGGTCAAACAAACACGCAAGGGATGCATGAAGTGGAAAACAACAGAAAATCACAACTTTTAACTTTTACTCTATGTACCTATGAGATAAAACAAGGAACAGAAAGTTCTTCTTTGTTTTCTTAACTCATGTATTTGATTATCTTTTCTTAACTTAAAAGACAAGAGTTTGATTGGCACTTGATCAGCACTTCTAAACAAGTTATTGATATCTAACATTTGATCGCACATCTACATTTTGAGAAGCTGCGGAGGTTCTAGTTTGGCACAGGTCATACTATGGAGTCTATTATTACTGTCACTACCTTATAGTCTTCTATACACCTTCTGTATGCTCCGCTCTGTCTGAACACACCTCTAATCAACAGAACAGACTTTAATTTTTTTGTATAGTTTACTTATCAAATAGCAGCATTTTCATAACTTACAAAAAGTACATGTAAACCTACTCATTCAAAATCTTAGTAATTTCAAAGGTTCATACAATAGACAGGAAACACAAAACAGGACAACATGCTACTATATTGCTTCCAATATTCTGAACATTTTCTTACGGTTGAACTAAATAATCAGTGACAGAAATATGGACACCAGCGCTCAATGAGTCTTCATAATGCACAAACAAATGGCGAAGCTAATCTTAGTCAGGCTTAGTTGGCACTCTTTATCATCCACACAAATAGAACACAGTTTCACATTTTATCGACAACGCTGGACTGCATTTGGACTACAAACTAGAATAGCTACAGTAAAGTACATTTAGATCATATGACATGACATATTGTATTCCACAGAAATGAGTTCTAGTCATTTTCAGATAACAGGATATGCATAAAGGATGTCATTGTTTCGGCTTTAGCTTACAAACACGTTACTCTCTAACACCTAAAATATTCTGCCTGAACGGTTTCGAGCTGAGCCATCGCTTTAAGATTTTATCAACCAAGATTTGCCTTCTTTTGCTTTCTTTTGGAAAAATCAACATGTTCCTTTAAAAAAACGAACTGGTTTAAAGGCCGATGTATACTCTGCAAGACGTCGAGAAATTTGTTCTCAGTGACGCAGTCGTGTGACAAAAATKATGCTTTTTTTGTTGTTGTCGTTCCACCTCCACGAACTGGTTCTGTTCACAAGCAGCTGGCAGAAACTTTCTCTCAGGGTTATGCTCTAGGTGTTGTGTAATTAGTCAGAACTTTGTGGGCGTGTTTATGCTGAACAGGTGAACTACGTAGATGTCAGAAAATACAGACTCTTTTTCAACGGGTCCAGCATAACAATTAAAATAAAAATTTTAAAAGATAATCGAAGAACTTGTGAAAAGAGATAACGCAATTTTTGTGTTCAGCTGAGACAGCGTGGAGACACAGGTGGCTCTCTGGCTGTGACGTTTGGGAGGAAGTGCACCTCGGCCGGACGGCGTAGGGACGAATTACCAATAGAAAAATGAGATCTTCTTCCATCGTGAACTGTAAATAAACGCGCTGTCGCTGTGTTGGTTGTGTTCGCTGCAGTGGGAGGAGCTTGCCAGGAGATTTTGCGACAGTTTGTCTTTAGAGTAAAAGGAAAGTCTCRTGACCACGTGAGTGAGAACAGATGTCTTACATCTTGATTAGTATGTAGCAACCTTTAATCGTGCTTGTTCTTCTGACACTTTGAGCTAATGTTGCTGGTTGGTTTTAGTGGGGGGGGGGTCACAGTTTTGGAGGCAGGTGTTTTCTGTGCATTTTAGYCATGTGAACTTTGCATCCTAGGAAAACTTTTTCAACCCCTATGACCTGTAGTGCATAACTGCCACCCATGGCTAGACATCACCCATGAGACGACAAGAGGAAGGAGAAAGAGGGGGAGAGCACAGTGTAGGACGGAGGACAGACAGGGAATCAAATGTTGAGAGAAAGAGAAAAGTTAATGAGGGGCAGAGAACAAGTTATGGAGGCTCTCTGAAGTCAAACAGTCCAGTTGCATCGATAACCTTACCACCCCTCCCCTCTTGTTTTGTGCTTGTATCTTATAATGAGCTCAGATTTTGGGCAGTAAAGGGTTTTCTTCCACAATGGTTTCACTGGTGGCCAGATTGGATTCAGATGGATGAGAAAGAAGACATTTTAGCTGGGAGGAAAGGCTCATTGTTGTAATAATGCTCCAACTGAAACAAAGAATTTCTGAAAAGAAAAAGGCTGTGGGTTAATTTTCCTGGGATTTTCATTGACACTTCTCAGCACCAACCCTCACAGCTTTTCCTTACAAAGCTGATCATAGAGCTTGGGTTGATGAAGACAGTTGAAAACGTCTCTTCAGCACAGGGAAGTGGACAGAGGAGAATCCAGAASGGGGACATGAGAATCGGTTGGTCAATAGAAAAAAGGTTCACTAATTGAAGTGCAGTGAGTTAGTAAACAGGAACATCCCCTCTGTCGGTGTGTGTGATGTGGGTGTGCAGAATAAAATGGGCCGACGCTCTTCAACGCTGTGTTGTGAATGTGTCACAGTGCAGTCCTCGGACACCCGGGGACTCAGGATGAACACGATGGATAGCAGCACAGAGGGGACGCACGCTAACCTTTGAGTGCTCGAGAAATTTAGGCAGCCACCTTTATACAAACTATTAGAATAAAAGACAACATTTAATGTTTTATTGCTCCACTTGTTTTGAGAGCATGATGATCCCGCCTGAACAAACGGCAGGACTCTTTTCGTTTTTCTCGATGGGATTTGGGACGGATGGCTCACAGACTCCAAGATGTCGCTTTTTATCAGAGTACGTCTCCTGACTGTTTGGTACCCTTAATGTAAAGGCAATAGTTTCTTTGTTCACAGATATTGGTTCATACAGCTTTTCATACCAAAATGCTTTCATAGTGCTTTGTTCTTATTGTGAACTGAAGGAGTCAGACACTGCTTTTAGATTTTTTTTTAGTTCAATGTTGGGATTTAAAAAAAAAGTCTGTCTAAGGCAAAAAACCACGTCCGGTATCACTAGGAGATCCAGCTTTTAAGGATTTATAAAAAGTGGGTTTATTCTTAAGTTTCTGAAATCAATCATTTGTCATTAGGTGAGAGTTTGGGTCAGATCCGGTGGGCTACCGATTGATGTTTCAGCTACTTTAACCATGTAAAGCATCAAGTTGTTTGAGMGATTTAAATGAAGCTAATCCTATAGCACCAGAAAGGGTTCAACAACAACAGATCTTGTGTTTGTGACTCAAATTACAAACATGTTTTGGTGTTTGTGCGTTTGTGGGAGCGTTATTGAGGAGCGTTTGTGTAAAATATATGTATACATTCCTGTGTGTCTCCTCTATCCTCTCACATTGATTATTTAAAYCCTGAACCCTGACCAAGTTCAGACTGGGTCAGAGTTATACATTTCTGTCACCGCAACACAAGTTTTGATCACTGTAACTAAAAAAAACTATCAAACATGGGTTCATATTGTTTTACATTCACATCAACCTGCGGCTGCAGGTTTAAAAAATCTGTTTGTGGTAAAATGAGACCGTGTCAATAACTGAAGGATGAAATTATAAAATACCCAAATTTAGAAACKTCAATCATAATATGAGCTAGAAATGAACGTAAAGGTTTTCTTAGATTGCCTTCCCGTGAGCTGACATGAGCTCAGGTCATAAACTTTCTCCAGTTTTAAATACATTCTGCATTAAAACAAAGAGGAAGGTTTGTAGAACAGCTCTACCAGCTGATCTTTGACCAGTTCAGCTCACCGGGGGCTGAGGTTTCAAATGGATTTTAAACCAGCAAAATCAAAAACACAAGAAAAAAAAGAAACAGAAGAGTCTAAAGAATAATGAGGTTTTGGAGGAGGTTGAGACCCTGCGGCCTCATTCTTGAATCTGCATCTTGGCAGTGGACCAGTTCAGCTTCCTCTGATTGCTGTCGTCAAAAAGACTTGACAAACTTTAAAAACATCAGGACGTCAGTCCTAAAAACACACTCATATATCACACACACTTATCTTTTCTATCTCTCCCACCTCCTCTTCTGCGATTCTCTTTAGATACTGAAATATTAAACATATATTTGGACTTTTCTTTTTTTTTTTCTATTTATCGTGACGTTCGATTTCTTTMGTTTTCTGTCTTCATCTTTTTCTTCATTTCTCTTGATTTTTTTAATTTTAGCCCACTTTTTGTGGGTTGGTGGCACGCACCCCCTGCTCGTACGTGATCCGCTGGCTGATCAGATACTGTGCAGCTTGTGTAGCAGCTGGTGACCCTGTTATGGTAACTTTACGGTTCCGAGTTCCAGGAATGAACTCTCCTTTTTTGGAGATCTGGATGCGGGCTCCTGTCAGCTCCTGGTATTCTACCAGTGTTTTCCCTCCTTTTCCCAAAATGGCACCCACCAGGTTTTCGGGCACTGCGATTTCAACTACGTCCTTGGCTCCGTCTGCCAGCTTCTCCGTTGCCAACAGGGATGAGGCCATCAGTGGGGATGAAGCATTTAGATAACCGTTGGAAGCCCCAGTAGCAGCTGCTAGCGAACCAAGGGAGAAGCCGCTGAGGCCTGTAGCAGGGTGGCCGGCGCTGCTGGATGCATCGTTAGCGTAGGAGGCTAGCAGGTTTGCTGCAGCTGCAGCAGCAGGGTTAGCACTAGCTGCAACTGCAGCCAGAACTCCAGAGGCAGCTGCAGGATTGAGACCCAGGCCCAGGGTGTTGGTGTTGTAGCCGTAGCTGGCCAGCGTATTCAGGGCTGAGGTGATGGCCAAGAGATCATTGCCAGAGAAACTGGACATGGCGGCAGGGAAGGCACCCATTCCTGTGAGTCCGGCCTGACCCAGAAGGCTGGAGGCAGTGGCGGCCGCTGCAGCCGCGTTGGGCAGCACCTCGGCCGTGTTAGCGTAGGGGGAGCCTGTGGGGTTGGAGTTAGCTACTGGACCAGAGACGTTGGAATAGCTGATGTTGAGGCAGCTGCTGCTCTGGGGATCCTCCTGGATTTTCTGCACAATGATTTCCACAGCCTTACGATTCTGCTCCGGTTCTCCACTGATGGTCACCACTCGCTCCTGGAGGTTGATGCCCTCTGGCTTTTGGGAGAGCTGCACCCAAGCCCCCGACTGCTCCATCACTGCTTTTACTGTGGCTCCACCTTTACCAATGATCAGCCCAGCCGTGCTGTTGGGCACTATCAGTTTGGCCTGCAGAAAAACAGAAAGACAGTGGAAGCAACAACCATGAAGCATTATTTAACAGTTTAAAACAAGAGGTTCATGTAGGGCTGCAACTAACGATTATTTTAATGATCGATTAATCTGTTGATTATTTTTTCGATTAATCGGCCAAATCATTAAAACGCTT